AAGATCATCAAAAGTACGTTTCAGAGGAATCGAGTATGTACTTTAGTAGAAATTTTTTTTGTTTTGTTTTGTTTTTTGTTTCACACGTTCATGTGCATATCAGAGATGCCAACTTGTTCCGGAAAGCAAATATGTATTTTAAAGTGGTAATTTATCAATCGTGATTCTTGGTTTAATAAATTAAATTTATTTAGATTTTTATCCACCACTATTTCGAAATAATTCGTAGGCTTATATATTTGACCACTTTATGTGTTTACCTTTTAAAAAGCAAGCAAAAATTGTCAAATATTTGCAAAATTTACTTCGTAGTTATTTACCGCTTTTTTTAACTATTTTGGCGTGTCCGGAGCAGTTGGCATCTCTGGCATATACATAATATTTGCTATTCTTGATCAATTCTCAATTTTACGTAAGTTACCTTAATAAAAATAAATTAAAATGGATGTTGGTGATTTTCTTCTAGAAACTGCACCTTAATTTGATGTAAAAAGTTTAAACTCAATTTGATGTAGAAAGTAAAAAGCTTATTACTTTTCTTTCGACCAGAGGTGACTCGTGTTATCTAGCAATAGTATTTTTTATTCATTTTAACCTTTAAAAAATTAGCCGATCGCTCCAAAAATGAATTTACCTGCACAAGATTCAATTTTACGTAGATCAAAATTAATAAAAACGGCAGTTACTAGATAGAACATGCAAAATTGTTTGAGAGAATTCCTTTCCGAATAAGATTTTAGTAAAAACTTAGATGTCGATATTAGAAAAATTCCTAATGTGATAGGGGGGAAATGAAGCTCATATTCACGACCTGCACGCGAAGTCGAGCACTTTACGGTAGAACAGTTTAACGAGGACCAATACCGCACACCCTCGGTCCCTACGCAGACTGATCCAAGTGGTCACCCACCCGCACACTGACCGTGATGCTTGATTTCGGTGATCTGCTGGGAGTCGTGTCTTAACGATCAGTACTCTGCGGGACCAAAACTATTAAGATTGTGTTGTAGAATGTAAAAAGAAGATCAACAGAACAAAAGTTATTAAAGGTGTTCTCTTTCTTTCTGCCAACATATGCTTGATTTCGATTACCAAACTCTTCGAAAAATTGACAGCAGCGAATATTTAGAAATATTTATGTACTACAGGGTTTCTGACAACTACGCTTTTTCCAAAATATTTAATAAAGATGTAGTTGTGGACAATCAAAATTTAAAGCTTCCAGAATTTTGATAAGTTTTACTTGAATTTCAGAGCCTCGCCGCGAGATAGTTGAACTAACTGACTGACTAATATAGGGCAAACAGACTTCCTAACCTAAAGGTCTGGTTTCTTAGGACAAGCGCCTTATCTGGGCGTCAGCGGGACGTCAACGTCACGCTGACGCTTTTCACNTAAAAAGCTTATTACTTTTCTTTCGACCAGAGGTGACTCGTGTTATCTAGCAATAGTATTTTTTATTCATTTTAACCTTTAAAAAATTAGCCGATCGCTCCAAAAATGAATTTACCTGCACAAGATTCAATTTTACGTAGATCAAAATTAATAAAAACGGCAGTTACTAGATAGAACATGCAAAATTGTTTGAGAGAATTCCTTTCCAAATAAGATTTTAGTAAAAACGTAGATGTCGATATTAGAAAAATTCCTAACGTGATAGGGGGGGGGGAATGAAGCTCATATTCAAAATCAGCACATCAAATAACATATAAATCAACAAAAACTTCTTTTGTATTTTCAAAAACTTCAATTTCGTAGGCTTGTGTAATTATGTATAATAAACGTTTAACCCCCAAACTATTAAGATTGTGTCGCAGAATGTAAAAAGAAGATCAACAGAACAAAAGTTATTAAAGGTGTTCTCTTTCTTTCTGCCAACATATCGTTGCTTGATTTCGATTACCAAACTCTTCGAAAAATTGACAGCAGCGAATATTTAGAAATATTTATGTACTACAGGGCTTCTGACAACTACGCTTTTTGCAAAATATTTAATAAAGATGAAGTTGTAGCAGAGCCGGATTATACCTTTCGTAGGCCCTAGGCACAGCCGTTTTTGGGCCCTCCCCTCCTTCCCCCACTCCTCCTCTCTTTTCAAAATATATGCTAAAATTTTCTTGCATATTTATTTTTTTATATTTTTATTAATATGGATTTTAATTTGAATACGACATTTTGCGAAGTTTGGAATTCGACAGCATAATACAAGATTTCGTTGAATCCAAAAATCGCAAAAAAGTAATATATTAGATCATAAGATTCTGCAAAATAATTTATTACCGAAAAATATTATATTTTTTATTTGTATCTTCATAATTTTTTGCAAAATACACTTGTTGTTTTTAAAGTTAAATTACTTTTGTCAACAAATTTTTTTCTCCCAATTTTTTCGTAGGCCCCTGAATTTCGTAGGCCCTAGGCACGTGTCTAGTGTGCCTATAGGTTAATCCGGCCCTGAGTTGTAGACAATCAAAATTTAAAGATTTCAGAATTTTGGTAAGTTTTACTTGAATTTTAAAGCCTCGGCACGAGATATTTGAACTAACTGACTGAATAATACAGTGCAAACAGACTTCCTAACCTACGAAGTACTGCGTCATCAATAGCTTTTGATGTGAATTTTTAAATAGTCCTCGTATAGTGGTGAGTAAAACAACTTTAAATCAAATTTACTAAACAAAGAATAATTTATTAACACGTTGAATGCCGGGGGTCACCGGGACAATGTCAAAACCTCGAACTGTATTTTGTATTGTGATAATTAAGAAAAAGCGTAATATGGGGTAAAATTCAACAGATTAGTGAAAGTTATAAAATTTTCCAACAATAGAAGGGACGTGGTAGACCAGAGGTCGGAGCATCGGACTCCAGCCCGGAGGAGTCGTGATTCGATCCTCGACTCCGCTGAGACCGAGTAAATGCTACAGACTTTACGTAAAATCTGTGGAATCGAAAGTTCTGTGGTCCGTCGCTGAGCTGTACCGCGGGAATAGGTATCCGGAGAAAATTTCCTTCCCCTTCAGATCTGTATCTAAGTCATGGAAGTGGCCTCGCAAATGAGATCTCCTCTGCTGAGGATTATTCGCACTTTGGTTATTTCGAACTAGATGAGTACTACTACTAGCCTTTGAGATATCTTCTTCTTCAGGAGCGCAACAGCCCTTGGCTGCCTCAACAGCACGCCTTCTCCAGCTCCCTCTGTCCATGGCAACTCCCCTCCAGTTCTTAAGTTTTAGGACATTGAGGTCGTTTTCGGCGTCGTTGAGCCATCGAGTAGGTGGTCTACCTCTAGAGCGGGACCCCTGAGGGTTCTTGAAGGTGGCAATTTTTACAGGGCTATCTTCAGAGCCTCTCCATATATGGCCGAGCAATCTTAGTCGGTTGCTTCGGATTATCTGCATAATTTGAGGATGTTTGTAGAGCCCATAAAGTTCAAAGTTGTACCGCGTTCGCCAACATCCCCCCTCTGGTATGGCACCAAAGATAGTTCTAAGTATCTTTCTTTCAAACGTTTCTATCGGGCGTTGGACGTCAAGTTGAGATATCCATTGCCTAATAAGCTGTAGTAAGCAGTCGGGAACTTTCTAACCGGAAGTAATGAAGATGAAAGTTCGAAGTTTCATTTTACAATTATAATGAAAGCATTATCCATATCTTCCAAATTTTCGTTGTTTCGAAACATATGAGAACTACAACCATCTTAGGAGTTATCTATCACAATTTAAAGTGTAGTAAGCAGCTGGCAACTTGATAATATATTGTAGGCAATAGTTCGCTGTTGAGTTTACATTTTTAATTTTATAACCATCGTTGAACAGCCGACCATTTTGATTTTACGACTGCCAATGTTCAACTCCTTAGCCTTGTAATTTTGAACTCAATCCAGAAGACAAGGGAACTCATGGATCAAGTAATGGAAGAAATTTCCCTTCATGGAGGACTTTATTAGTTTATAACAGAGCTTGATTGTTAGTTAGTTTAGTTAATGCGCGATATAATTTTTTAGATTGCAATTATTTTTATTTATATAGTGTAAAATTTTTAAGCATACTATTTACTTTTTTGTAACTGTCGAAAGTTTTAAATCTTACAAGATTTACCTAATTTTATTTTAATTTTTGATTTTAGTGAAGAAACTTAAATTGTTCCTCATACCTTAGATGCAAGGGAAACTTTTTTTTATCATGGTTAGAAATTTAATATTTTCAATCAGAAAATTAATTGTTAGAACATAATTATTTTTCGTTTAATATTTGCGTATCCTTTTTTTGATCATATTAAAATTTAAAAAAAAACTTTCAATTATTCAATTAAATAAACGGGTGCTTAAAATATCTTTTCGTATTTAGAATTTTGAGCTACTTATAACTTCTTATTTCGCAGATCCGACAAATTTTATTTTCATTTTTGATGTAAGGGAATTAGGCAAAAAGTGTTCCTCATTTTTTTTTGTTAAAGAGTTTTATTTTTTAAAATGAAAATTAATATTAACATTTTGATTATTTTTCGTAGGATAATATTTGCATTTCCCTTATAAATAACAACATTAAGATTAGAAAACAGTCAATTATAAAATTCATGGCAGGATAATTTAATACTTTTTCGTATTTAGAGTTTTATATATGAACTACTTAGAGAGCTTTTTATTTTTCAGAAACATCAAATCATATTTTCCTTTTTGATCTGAAAGAATTAATTCAAAATTGTTTCTCATATCTTTGATGGAAAAAAAAAACCTTTAGTAATTTCTCCTTTTCAACAAGAAAATTAATGTTTATCAAATAATTATTTTTCATTCTTTGATATTTGCGAGTCCTAAATTAAATAACAACATTAACATTAGAAAACTCTCAATTATTCAATTAAAGAAACGAGTATTTAGAGTGGCGCAGTCGCAGAAGCTGAATACGGCACGCGCAGAAACACACCCATCTTTACGCACTACACACTCTACCGCACTCTCCCTACCGTGAAAGTGGTTTCTCCCTGAAGCGGCGCATGCGTGTTCGTCAGCAACTATTCCGCTTCCGCCAGACTAAAGCACATGGCGGACCGCTGCGAATCATGAAGTTTAAGTAAACTATCCTGACGTTGTTTATGATGCGTCGGCTACCGACCAGATGACCGGAGGGTAGTGTGGGAGACATGCAAGCGAAAAAACGCTACATCTTGGTCCTCATGAGCTGTGTGTTTATCGTATTTTTATATTATGGTGTGTACAGATTCTGGCAACATGGCGGCATCGAAAACGAACGCCCGGCGAACCCGAAAAATCAACGTTCATACACGGACGCGGATGGAGGTAGTCCGGCGGGCGGTTTATATCCGGACGAAGACCTTGTTGTGTCGCCCTCGCAACGACGGGGGGAGCGGCGAGCTACCCACCACACCCCCTCCAATTGTACTCTTCACACGTGCTTTGATTTGTCAAGGTGTCAACGTGATTACAAAGTTTACGTGTACCCCGTACAGCCGGACGAACTTATTTCCCCGACGTACCAAAAAATCTTAAGTGTTATCCGGGATTCCCGGTATTTTACATCGGATCCTAGTCAGGCATGTTTGTATGTATTGGGAATAGATACTCTTGACCGGGACAGTTTGAGTCCGGATTATGTGTCAGATATACAAGCCAAAGTGGACCAGGTCAAATACTGGAATAACGGTCGCAATCATGTGATATTTAATTTATATTCGGGCACATGGCCTGACTATGCGGAAAATCTGGGATTCGACATTGGGGAAGCTATACTCGCGAAAGCGAGTATGTCGACTGCCAACTTTCGACCTGGATTCGACGTTTCCATACCCCTCTTTTCAAAATCGCATCCCGAAAGGGGGAGTGATCGGGGTTATGTGGGGTCCGGTGACCTGCCGGCCACCAAAAAATACCTCCTTGTGTTTAAAGGAAAACGATATCTATACGGTATTGGTTCTGAAACCCGGAATTCCTTATATCACTTACACAATGCCAAGGATATAATACTTTTGACAACTTGTAAACACGGCAAAAAATGGAAAGAAATGAAAGATCCTCGCTGTGAATTAGAAAACAAAGAATATGACAGGTAAGGCATTAATATGATTATCAATTAAAGCCCAGATTTTGATGACAAAAATGCCCTATTGATTAAAAATATTTAACTAAAACAAATACTTTCATGTATGCCAAAAGCAATGCAATACGTGTTCTAAATTAATTCATTAAAGTTAGAAATAAATATTATGTAACCAAAAAAAAAAGGAAAATATATTAATTCCTGAATATTTTGTTTTGCATTTAATATAACAAAAGTGATTCAAAGCCAAAGAAATCATAGAATAAAGAACACTCCAATAACATAAAAATGCTCTAATATCTAGAAAAATGCTGCGACCTTTAATTTAAGTGTCCTATTAAACTTAAAAACTGCTCAGAAAGAGAAAAAATGTTCCTAATTGCCAATGCCATCAGAATATGATCCTCAAATATCAACAAGCATGCTAAAAACGTTCTGCATAAAATTAAAAAGTGGTTACAATTTTTAATTTCTATGGATCTTGCACTAAAAATCATAAATGTAGGATTTAATAATGGTATACCACATTTTTTTAAAATTCCCATTTTGTAGATATAGCCAATTTGTTATTGTAATATAGCCATTGGTCACACGAATATAACCATTGATTTGTAAACATAGCCATTGATCACACAAATAAAGTTATACTAAAACAGCCTTAATTTAATTTTACAAATGGTGCTCTTAGCACTATTTATAGCATTTGTTTAGCGTTTTTGATGATAAAATAAATTTTTGGATACGTATAAATGTTTTGATTATTTTTTAAACAACTGAAATTGTTAATGTTACTTTTTACCATTGTACATCCCTCTAGGTTGTTATTTCAACCAACTGAAACATGTTTTGACCAGGAGGCTGAATATAAACAGTTTTGGTCTTCGAAAATTGGTTTTAATTTTTTTAATTATTCCTATTTTAATTAAGAATATGAGTACAGTTTAAAAAATAAAACACCGAAAAGATTATGATGCTAATTACTTATATCTTAATGTGCTTTTGTACATTTAAATATTTACAATGTTATTATAAAATATTAGGCAGTTTCAATTAAGTATGAATCATGAATTTCTTCGAAGAGTTCACTTCTATTGAACTGTTGTGTCAGCTCTACATCAAATGAAAGTATATTTTCTAAATTTGAAATATGATGTCAATCATTAAACTATCTTAAGTTTAAATGAGGGATATTTCTCTATCGTGATCTGTTGCGCCAACTACAATCGCTGAGGTACCAAATATATTTTAAACTTGCAAATTTTTAAGAAAAACAACTTGTAGATGTGTATGAGGGGGTGGTTACGAGATATATATTTCAAGTTGGTCCCTTTCTGTGATATATATTTTTTTAGTTACTTGCGGGCTGCTGCCCGGAAGTGGGCAAGACTTTGCGATTATTCTGCCACAGATCACGAT